ATAAGAGGCAGCTCCGAGAAGAAGTAGCAGCTGAGAGAAGAGGTGCCTCAGTGAACAAGTACCCAAGGGAAGCAGTAGCTCAGCCAGCCGTTGGCTTTCAGCCGTTGGCTTTGGAACTTTGGGCTTAGAGAACACTTCCCTTACAAAATGGGTAGCTCAAAGAAGAAGCAGCTCATTCATTCATTTGTTCCTGCGTTGGTTGATTGACCCATGCGTTGATTTCTTCGTTCTTTTCTTCACTCAGTGAGTCACTTTCACTTGTGCATTGAACGGTTAGTTCTTTCATTGGTCCATTCATTGCTTCGTTTGTTGGCTCACTCATTGATGACTTGATTCCTTGGTTCATTGATTCCCCCTTTCAGTGACCCATTACTGTAATCTTTTAGTTTAATTGATTCATCGAGATCCGTTCGTTACAAGTAACAAGCATTGAGTCATCCATGCCTTTATTCGTGCGTTCGTTCGTTCGTTCGTTCGTCCATTCATTCATTCATTCATTCAGTCATTCATTCAATCATTCATTCATGCGTTCATTCATTCATTCATTCATTCATTCATTCGTTCATTCTTTGATTCATTCAGTCATGCATGCATGGATGGATGTACTGTTTTGTCACGTAATGTTACCTAATGTTTTGTAATGTTATGTAATGTTATGGTATGGTATGTATGTATGTACTGTATGTAATGTATGTTTGTAATGTATGTGATGTATGTAATGTAATGTAATGCAATGTGAGGTAAGTAAGTTTGTATGTATGTAATGTAATGTAATGTAATGCAATGTAATTTAAGTTAAGTATGTATGTATGTAATGTATGTAATGTATGTATTGTATGTGATGTATGTAATGTATGTAGTCTATGTAATGTATGTAATGTATGTACGTAATGTATGTAATGTATGCAATGTATGTTAATGTAATGTAATGTAGTAATGTAACGTAACGTAATGTAATGTAATGTAATGTTTGTTATGCATGTTATGTATGTAATGTATTTAATGTATGTTTTGTATGCTTTGCATGCTCTTTGTTTTGTATGTTATGCATGTTATGTATGTTTTGTATGTTATGTATGTTGTGTATGTGATGTATGTAATGTACGTTTTGTATGTTACGTATGTTATGTATGTGTGTTTGTAATTTAATGTAATGTAGCGTAACGTAACACAAGATAATTTTATGTATGTATGTGTGCAATGTATGGAATGTATGTCTTGCCTGTCATGTTTGTAATGCATGTAATGTATGTCATGTATGTATGTGATGCATGTCATGTATGTCATGTATGTTTTTAATGTATGTCATGTATGTAATGTATGTGACGAATGTAATGAATGTAAAGTGTGTATGTGTGTTTGTATGCCTGTATGTATGTATAGATGTAAAGTAAAGTAATGTAAAGTAGCGTAAAGTAAGTAAGTAGTAATGTATGTATGTAATGTAACATAATGCATTGTAATGTTATGTTATGTAAATGTAAATGTAAATGCAAATGTAAATGTAAATGTAATGTGATGTGATGTAATGTAATGTAATGTAAAGTATGTAATGTAATGTAATGTAATGTATGTAATGTAATTTTTTTATGTAGTGTAGTAGTGTAATGAAATTTCATGTAAGCAATGTAATGTAATGTAATGTAATGTAATGTAATGTAATGTAATGTAATGTAATGTAATGTAATGTAATGTATGTAATGTAATGTAATGTAATGTAATGTAATGTTTTGTATGTATGCATGCATGCATGTAATGTAATGTAATGTAGTGTAGTGTAATGTTTTGTTATGTTATGTTATGTATGTATGCATGTATGTATGCATACATGTATGTATGCATGTATGTATGTATGTATGTATGTGTGTATGTATGTAATGTAATGTAATGTAGTGTAATTTAAGTATGTATGTAAGTATGTATGCATGTATGTATGCATGTATGCATGTATGCATGTAATGTAATGTAATGTAATGTAATGTATGTATGTATGTATGTCAAAAACGTCATGTAAAGTAAGAAAGTAAGTAAGTAGGTAGGTAGGTAAGTAAGTAAGTAAGAAGTAATGTATGTATGTATGCATGTAATGTAATGTAATGCAATGTGTAATGTAATGTACTGTTTTGTATGTATGTATGTATGCAAGTATGTATGCATTTATGTATCTATGTATGCATGTATGTATGTATGCATGTCTGTAGGGATGCATATATGTATGTATGTATGGATGTATGTATGTATGCTTTCATATATGTATTGATGTTTGTGTTTATGTATGCATGCATGTATGCATGTGTGTATGTATGTATGTATGTATGTAAGTAATGTATGTATGTATGTATGTATGTATGTATGTATGTATGTATGTATGTAAGTAATGTATGCGAATGTGTGTATGTCATGTAATGTATGTAATGTATGTAGCGTTTATAATGTATGTACTGTATGTAATGTATGCAATTCGTGTAATGTAATTGTATGTAATGTATGTAATGTAAGGTATGCATGTACGTATGTATGTTGGTATGTAATGTAATGTAATGAAATGTAATGTAGTGTAGCGTAATGTAATGTAATACTGTTATGGAATGTAATATAATGTAAATATGTGTGTATGTGTTATGTATGTATGTATGTATGTATGTATGTATGTATTTATGTATGTATGTATGTATGTACTTACGTACGTATGTACGTACGTATGTACGTACGTATGTATGTGTGTATGTGCGTATGTTTCTTTATTTGTTTGTTTGCTTGTTTGTTTGTGTGTCTGTGTGTGTATGCATGCATGCATGCATTTATATATGTATGTATGTAAGAATGTAATGTGATGTAATGTAATGTAAAGTAATGTAATGTTTGCATGTAGTGTATGTATGCAATGTATGTATGAAATGTATTTATGTATGTATGATTGCATGTAAGGTAATGTAATGTAACGTAACGTAACGTAATGTAATGTAGCGTATTTATATATGTATGTCAGCGCTTCCTTTCATTGACTAGCTCATTCACTCAGTCATTCTGCGCTTATTCTTCATATCTTCATGTCATGATTTTATTTCATCTCATTTGCATCTAAGCCACCATGTGCTCTTTCTTCGTCTCACGACTTCAATCTTCCATTGTTTCTGCACCCCACAGACATTCCTATAGGCCATTGTTCATGTACGAAATTTCCGCACCGGCATGGCCGGGCCTTGCTTGGTATGTAAAAAAAGAGAGCGGGGGACTGTGAGAGTGCGTTTTTTGTTAGTTTTGCAGTATGTTGTTGGTGTTAATTCTTCATACACATCATCATGCCTAATGTCTCTGTCAAGATGTTCATCCAAAGAAGATGCCGCCACCAGCCAAAAAAAAATGTAAAAAATACAAATAGCCGGTGGAGGGGAAACAGTATTGATAGATTACTACACCCCAGTAATGCAAATGCAACCCTTTAAGCACCCATGCACATTATGAGGCATTTTTCTACCAAATTACAGTGTTGCCTTGGCAAACATCTTCATGTCAAAATATACCTTTCATTATAAGCTGCAATGTTCCTTCAAGGCAAGGCATTACTTCTTTCAAGAAAGAGTATCCGTACAGAATATAAAGCAGTCCTCTAAACATGCAGCGTTCCTTTCTGTAGAAATGTGGCCTTTCTTCCTTCCATAGTAATATTAAGCTTGCCTTCAATCATACAATATGTCTTTCAAAACATCAGATTCCTACAACATGCAGTGTGTGATTGACATTCAGTGTTGCTGTCAAAAGGTGCAATGGCCGATGCACATTGCAGCATTCCCTGAAACAAGAAAGATTACTGTTGAAAGAACATGCTGCTTATAGGCTGCAATCTGCCTTATATTTCCTTAAATAAGAAGCAACATTCTTGCAAGAAAATTGTAATGTGTGGACAAATGCAATACAATACATCCTTTAACGAGGTTAAGCCTCATTCTCATTTTTTTCTCCATGGCATTTGCTTTTAGCGGAGAGGCTTCCCTTCTTCAAAAGAATTGCCTTGAAGACAAGATAGTTCCTGAAATAAAAAGCAATATTCTTGCAGAAATACAATATGTTAACAAACGCAATACATCCTCAATGAAGGTAAGCCTTATCATTTTTTCTGCATAACATTTGCTTGAAAAGGAAAGATTCCACTTCTTAAAAGTGATGTTTGTTTTGTTCTGTTGTTTCACCCATATGGAAAGGCATACTGCATACATGCAACCATATGCAACCATGTCTCTTCCAAAAAGTATTATATACATACACTTCTACTTCACAATAATGATTCTTTATATCATTGCATCTTTTTCAGTCAATTGGTTCACTGCCTTATCAAGGTATATAGGAAGTTTTGCGCATACTGGCGCCAACACGTTCTTTAAGGAAGACCATATTCATTTAAAGTAGGTACTCAAAGGATTCCATTCTGACATATTGTTGTCCTTCCCCCATTACTTCTTTAAAGGAGCTTTGCACAGCTGTCTCTTTGATAATGACTTTGGATTCACGTCAAATAAATGCTGCACTCCCTTATGTAAGGGGACTGTACAAAATGATGTCACCTTATGCAAGGAAAGATGTGACTTTATGCTAGGAACTTCATGTCATCGGGGAAATTTGGCTAAGAGTCAAAAGAACTTCCAGTAGGTCAAAGGTTGGCAAACCAAAAGAAAACAAGAAAACCAAGAAGACCTACTGGGCCAGAGTGCCTGTGACAGGGTTGTTTTTTTGTTTTTTTTGTTTTTTTGGTTTCCCCAAGGGAAGGATGCAGAGAGTTGAGTCTTGTCATTTATTTTTTTCTTGCCAGTCAATGCATATGTCAAAAAAGAGAATGTGTAAAGAGGAGTGCAAAAAGCGCACTCTCACAGCCCCCTGTTCTGGAAAAAAATGTATGTATATATTTTATATATATGCGCGTGCATGTGTGTGTATGCGGTATTTTATGTTGGAACCAGTTTTTCTCATGTTTGTTTCACATTCGTATGTAGGAGAGAGCGAGCGAAGAGGGATTCTGAATCATGTACAATTTCATGCAACCATTCTAGTGTGATAAACTGTTCCACCTAAACCAGCTGCCTGGTTCGAAAATGCTATAATGCCGTCAGGGATTCATGGACTTGACTGAGTGCCTGACTGGTTACTTAACTGACTACCAACCATGTAGTTCATGTGTGGGATGCAGGAGGGTTAAGTGGTGTCATTTGCTATTTGCATGGGGCGCCGCCTTGGCTAAGAATCATTCGGGTTTGGCAGTGCCAAAGCGATCCGACCGACTTTTTGCCATTTGGGTATGGTCAAAATGATTGACCCGATTTGACTCCAAAAAATGGGCCGCCAAATGCCGAAAATGACCAATTGAGTGGATCAATGTGCCAAGTCCGTTTGAGGCCAGCTTATGGTGCAGCGTCTGGGATGGTGAGCCCAAACCAAACTAGCGGCACTAGCGAAGTTGACGAGAATGACGTGCTGAAGGAGCTATTCTAGGCTGGGCAAGATTTTGACCCAATTGCTGGTCAGCTGGCATGCATGTACATCTACAGTTTTACGCATGGATACATGCAATCATCTTCATAGATATAGATGAGGTGCATGTTTGGATGCACGCAGATAGGTTTGAGGGCGCAGACAAGTTAGGAAGATAAAGGCCAAGTTTTATGCATGCGTATTTGTGTTTTGCATTTTTCCCGAGAGCGCCTGCGAAGGGTTCTTCGTAAAAAAGCAGCCGTTATACTAGATCTTCACACCTTCACACCTGCAGATCTAGATCTTCACACCTTCACACCTGCAGATCTAGATCTTCACACCTTCACACCTGCAGATCTAGATCTTCACACTCTCACATCTGCCGATCTACATCTTCACACCTTCACATCTGCTGATCTACATCTTCACACCTTCACACCTGCAGATCTAGATCTTCACACCCTCACACCTGCAGATCTAGATCTTCACACCTTCACATCTGCAGATCTAGATCTTCACACCCTCACATCTGCAGATCTAGATCTTCACACCTTCACACCTGCAGATCTAGATCTTCACACCCTCGCACCTGCAGATCTAGATCTTCACACCCTCGCACCTGCAGATCTAGATCTTCACACCTTCACACCTGCAGATCTAGATCTTCACACCTTCACACCTGCAGATCTAGATCTTCACACCCTCACATCTGCAGATCTAGATCTTCACACCTTCACACCTGCAGATCTAGAT